TCTTCTCAGTGGTAAACTCACTGGTGATTGATCTCACTGTTTACTGCTGTTGTTGCTGATGCCTTCTTCTTCTCTGATCTGCAGCAATCGATTGGCATCCAGTGTTTCAACTAGCTCTTCTTTGCCTTCTTCTCTATTTTTTCAGGACCACCAGTCAATCACTAATTGAGTGCCATCACCCCGAGAAGACAGTTGGACAGTGGACACAGTGTAGTCAGTAGTGTGACAGAGACAGCCAGTCAACTCCACTGTGCACACACTGGTCAGCAGTGCACAGACTATCACAGTGTGACCTCCTTTGGCGCAGACAGCTTTCACAGCCATTCTCAGCAGTCAAAGCAGCGCCCAGTGGGCACTTAGCATCGCTGATGCTGCTTCAATTGAATCTTTGTTTTGTTAGACTTTGTTGACTGTCGAAAGAGAAGGGCCGACAAACATACAGCGAACTGCTGGAGATTGATGAATTAACTCGCCACAAGTCTGAGACATGTCCAGTGAGTGTGTGAGTGTTTGTGGGTCTGTGCCGAGGAGCTTTCTGTTTCTGAAACAGTCGTCGTTTACTTGACTCTTGGCTTTCTCTCTCTCTCTCTCTCTCTCTCTCTCAGCAAGGGGTTAACTCCATTTTTTCTCGTTTTTTGCACTAATTTAAAAAAAACTGGCAACACTCAGAGAGCATCAGTCACTGACGTGAGTAGGCCAGGACAGGACAAGACGACTCTATTAGGGAAGCTCGAGCTCATTCCACTCGATGCACAGTGCACTAGGCATTCCGCTTTATAGTATTGTTATTATTCTTATTCTTTTCTTTTTTTCTTTTCGCCCACTCTTTGACTTGCGGATTGACGCACAACAATCGATTTGGAAGTAGAGAAAAAAGTCAAAAGAGATGACTGAAAAATTCTCAATAAGTGAGCCTCTCCCTCCTGTGACATTTCCTCTCCGCTTTTTTTACAAAGGGGATTTCTAGTGCATTCTTCTTACATTTTTTTCAACAGACAATGAGCTACTGTATATTTACTTTCTTTATAAAGATTTTGTCATTGTGGTCGGCACCCAACAGTGTAGCCGATTTAAAATGTGGCAGTCAGGAGACATTCGTTTGACTCAATTTGAAAACCAAATCTTGTTAAAAATTGCGCAACTCGGCTAATTTTTGTGACCACTTTTTAGTTTTTTCATAAGAAGCATGTTATTTTAGATTTTTTTTACTTTGCATGCATATTTTTCAGTGCTCATTAGCAAACAGTGACATCAAATTGGTTTGTGTGCTTTGTTAATCTAAAAACAAAAGCAGCAGAAGTTATATTGCTTTTGATCTCATTGTGCGATTGCACTTGCCAGTGATTGCCGCAGATCGAAGCAGTCAGTGGTGGTGATGGTAGCAGTGACACTGCTTTCATTAGTCGGCAGAGCAAAAGGGGAATGAAAAAGAGAATAAATCGATATGAACACCACCAGCAACAGCAGCAGAAGTCTCCCCCCACTTGGCACACTTGTGACGCTTTTCCGGTGCTTGCCTTCATCGGTGACGGAAGTTTATCCTGAAACCAAAAAAGTTTTTTGTTTGAATTTATAATCATTTGCCGAGTTGCTTGCAGCATTTCAGAGCAATTGAAAGGGGGTTTCCTATTAAAAGGTAATTTATAATTACCGAGTCTTGCTTCTAAATGAATTACTTAAGTGCACTTGGCAGCGGCAAAAAAAGTAAAAAGTTGCTCAAGATAAAAATTCGATTACCCCTTCACTCAAAGTTTGTGCCCCTGTGATCATCTGCAGTTTTTTGTTCCTCCTTCTGCCCACCATCACTTTGACACAAAAGAGGCGTGAGAGAGAAAAAAGCTCTCGATCAATCGATTGGCATTGCAATATTTGAATATTTAATATGAATCGATTCTTCTCTGTTTTTTCCACTTTGCCCAGCCCAAGTCAGTGACAGCAGCAACAAGGTTTTGTCGTTTTGTGGAACTGCTCCAATGTGGTGCGCCCGGTTGAGCAACTTTTTAGAAAAACCATCAGACCTTTTTATTTCTATTTTTTCAGGTCTCTAATGAGATGTCAGCATCTGCTTGAGAAGAAAGACAAATCTAGCTGAAAACGGTTGCGGAACGAACTTGATAATTGCTGCAGTGAAAGTGGCTCAGTGAGTGCCCGTGTATGCTCGGCGATCAACAAAGCTCCTTTTTTGTGGCACTGAGAGAAGAAACCCGCCTGACTACTTCCTGGTGTCAGTTTTTGGTGGTTAGTTTTGGGGCTCAAAGGAACCTTCTAGGATCGCCCCACTTGCTACTTTTTCCGTCCTTTTGAGCTGATGAATAATTCATGTGCTCTTCGACTGCTGCTAGGTTGAGCATGTTTGCATGTTTGCCGTGTGCTTTCTCTCTGTCTCTCTGTTTCCCGCTAATATGCCTCTTGTTGTTAATTAAATTTACGTACACTACGCAAATAAGGTAGTGGCTGCTGACATGTTTGCTGGCTGTGCGGTGTTGTGGATGCCGTTGCAATTGACGAGTACGGCTGAAACCAAATGCCAAAGATTGCTCAAGTTATATGCCAGATTTTTCATTCCATTTCTCGTTTAGACAGGTTTGTACAAACATCAGGTGAATCAGTATCACAAAGAAAGGATAAAGCTAACCAATTGCTTTTTGAGATTAGAGAAAATAAAAAGGTCAGTTTTCGTACAGGTACCACAGCGCAAAATGCACAAAGGTGTAGTAGTAAAGAGTCTTATTTAGTATAAAACAATTTATCATTTTTTAGATTTTAAAGAAAAATATGAAAGCAGAAACCATTTTTCTTCATCCTCGTTTGCTCAAAATTGTTTTACCGTTTATGATGATAAATTGTCGGAAAATTACGTTTGTGTGTTTCTGTTTTGGTTTCGTTTTCCGAAAAGTAAACAGGTCGTCTATATTCACATTTGAGGAAATTGTTTATTTAGGCAAAAAAGATAAACAAAGATGCAATTGCGACAGAAAAAACGTTGAAAGAGATGGAAAATCAATTTTCAGTTTTGACAGTTTTAGCGTCGATGAATTTTGAGAATGTAATGAAGAGTAAATGAAGTAGCAAAAACTCACAGGCCAATGCAAACTCAAGTTGATAGTGTTCAATCGATTTTTCAAAACAAAATTCTTTTGCTTGTCATCAAACTCTGCCTAATAAACACACACTCACTAGTCTTTAATGCTTCCCTTTTACACCCTGGTACCCTCATTTTGGAGGTACAAATCATTAGAGAAAAACAAAATGACAAAAAATGAATTTATTGATGCAAAAATGATGACAGAAACTTTCTACTTGTCAATATACATGAATTGTCTCAAAATTGGTTTTTTAAATTTTTGTCGCATTTGTTTTTGTGAAAAATTAAAAGTGAAAAAAATTGTTAAAATGTGCCAAAAATGATTAATACTTTTCTCCAGCCAGCTAGCAAACAGCAATAATGGCCAACAAATTGGCCTTCTATTGACTGTTTGCTACTACTGGTAGATGAAACAAATGATAATGAAAACAGCTTAAAGTAGCAACAAACAAGAACACCAACAACCCTAAGGAAAACGCTTATGTCCATTACCAGGAGCTCATAACTGCTGATGAAAAAACTACTGGATAGTTTGCCACAACACCAGCACTTTTGTACTGTGCAGTAGTCCACACACACTAATTGACATTTAATTTGAGGCAAAGCTATGATTGAGATGAAACAAATTACCACTTAGTACCAGCACTCTTCTGAAAAGCAGTTTTTTGGAAAAACGAAATGAAAGTGAGCACCACTTTTTTGCTTTCACTGTTGTTAGTGTTTCACTAATCTAATAGTTTGAAGATTTTGTACTAGAATGTAGAATTTGAGCATTTTAACTGCAACCACAGTTCCACCTGGTGAACCAGAATTTAGACAGATTATTTACTGGAATGATTTTCAAAAATTAAGTTTTTTACAACTCGGCTTTTGCAGACGTATCTTTAGGTGGCGACGACTTTTCCCGTGTCTGCGTTTTTGAAATTAACTGCTCGTCAGGCGTCTCCTCTGGGTACTGGTTCACCCTGAAACTCTGCAGCACATTAAAGTGCGCCTGAAGAACCTTCCTTTTGGCGGCGGTGATGTTCTCCTTGACGTCGATCAGCAGGTTGAGAATGCGCTTCTCCTCGCTCTCAAAAAAGAGCAGCCCTCGTTCTAGGCCCTTGTGCATGTACTTCAAATACATGGCAGCCGCCTTTCGCTTCTCTGTTGAGCTCTTCTTTGACATGGACTCTACCTGACTGATGATCTTCTGGGCCTTTTGAAGGTCCTCTCCTTCCAGTGGCTGTTCAGCTGACTTTCTAGAGATGTGTTGAAGGAAAGATGCCGCCAACTGGTCGAGATCTGCTGTACAGTTGGGCAGTGTGACGTGAATGCCCGTCTCACGCCAGAAGAAAAGTCGCATTGACACTGGATCGAGGTGGATCTTGTTGGTCGTCAGGTTGCGCTCTTCATCGTACACTACCGGCTTCAGCGAGGTGAAGTTGGCCACCTTGCAGTTGGGCGGCGTGACAAAGAGTCGAAGCGCCGGAAAGTCCTCCTTGGGCACTGAGTACCGCTTGGTGAGCACCAGCGAGTCCTGTTCACCGTAGTCCTTCACCTCGAGGTTCACCGCAATGACGTCAGTTCGCTTCAGCTTGGCGAGCTGTTTGCCCAGTCGGACAAAGTTCTCGTGGTCGACGCCGTAAGGATAGGGATGGTCAAACTTGACGAGGGCATAGCGAAACCGAGAGACAACCTGGGTTTCAGAAAAAACATTAAGTTTTTTAAAACTGATTTTAAAAATAATCAAAAACTTACTTTGTCAAAAGTAAGTTCATCGAGTGAGAGGACGCCCTTGTAGAGTTCCTCTGTCGTCACTGAGTGCGTCAGTGAGGCGAGCGTGAAAAGGAGAAGGAGAACGTGAAGCACTTTGAAAATCATTGTGTGGATATTTTTTTCACTCTCAATCTAATACTGGTCGTTTTCACTAGCTAAACTTGCTCATTTATACCCTCTTTTTTCCTGCGGGTCATTAAAGATTCTAGGGTGCTTTTTCTGACTTTTTTTGCTAATGTTAGCTTGATGACCACTGCAATTTTAGCGCTGTCTCCATGGTGACATTGTGGTGACCGAAAAGCACAGCCAAGTTGATCAAACACAGGAGAAAATCGCCAACCACCATCATCACCATCATCATGACGTGTCATTCGTTTATTTGCCAAGCTTAATTTACCTTTTTACTGTTTACTTTAGATTTCAGACCAAAATAAGAAGAAACTTGTGTCCACAAACAGACAATTGTAGCCGCGCAGCTTATAGAGTCCATTTGCACACTGCTAATCATCCGACTTACTTTCCGATAAATAATTGTCCATTGATCATTTTAGCTGTTGGCTGATTAGAGAGCTAATTACGTCACAGAAAGTATAGCTGGACGACATTTTTAGGCGTTTATCAGCACCTCGGAGACCACCTGCCGTTAATTGGGCTTAGTGAGAAAAAATAAATATAACATAAAAATAAAAGGACGATCAGGTGACGCTTGTTGAGTAGGTGAGATTAATGGCAATAATTGCCTAATTGATAAAGTTGGGAAACGGTTGAAAGCTGCTGCAAGGGTAATGGGCTTTTAATAGTAGTTTATCAAAGCGATGTACTATTTATGCCCAAATTAAATTAGTTTAAAACTTCACACGTTCAAATTGTTTAAACATTTTCAAGTAAAGTAACTTATTTGTAAAAACACTAAAACTAACAATCGTAAACTTTAAAATCTCCTAAACTGCAATGTACATTTAACAGTCAGTACAACAAACTTACCACAACAAAACGATGCACCTAATTTGGCACCTAAAAGTAAATTGGAATTTAATCACCAACTTGTTGTGTGTGACTAGGTGTTATCAATAGGCGACGATGAGGAAAGGGGAAGGTGAACAAAGAAGGGCCACTTTTGACAAGCTTTATCAAGTGTTAACAGCAGCATTCCAATGTAAATATTTGCATTGAACTGCATGACGTAAGGGAGGCACTGTCTTTCAACCTGCGATCCAGTGAGGATCCGCACTGTGACCACGCTGTGTCGCGTGCACAGAACACTGGCTTCATTCAGGGCTTCATTCACTATCACCAAGTCCAATGTGACCGGTGCACACTTATGACTTAAGCCACTTTTGTTATTATTACAAGTTCCCCTGGTGAGTTTGTCAACAGTGTCGACTTGACTGTCCATCAACCAGTTTATGAGGCAGTCTCACTTTCTCTGAAGTGGCGATGTGGGTGATTACATCCGCAAGCATGTGATGGAAGTGCACTCAGTCAAACTGTCTAACGACACACTATCGTCCTTCCTGTGGGTCTTTCTGCTCGGTTCTGCGGTGTTTAGTTTTGCACCGTCGACGGGGGCGACGGTAGAGAGTGAGAACTCAAGCGGCACTCAAGTCGGCTGCTTCAGTCAAAGCAAGGTCAATGTCAATGTCTGACACCTTTCACTAGTGGATGTACATTATCTGACCTCTTTTACACCTACTCTAAAGAGACGGTAATAATAATACCCAATAAAACAACAGTAAATAACTTGTGCACTAAATGTTCCCAAATTGATATAGAGCACTCATGGCGAGAGTGAGGAAGAGGGAAAGGGAGTGAAATCGTAACTGGCTTCTGGGCACGTATTGCATTTGCCAGCGTCTTAGCCCGTAACTGCTTTGCTCATTAAACTGGTTGTTTATCATAATATTTACCTTTAATTAGTTTAGATAGGAGAAGCAGCAGTGAGTAGATTTGTGCCAAGAGTATCAAATGACAGTAGTTTTTAATAGGCAAAATGCGGCAATACTTTTCTCTAGTAACTCTTTGCTTTCCATGAATAAAGATATGTTCATCTTGTTGGAATCACTAGCTGTGACCTAACTGTTGATAATAGTGCACACACTGAAAACAAACTTAAACGTACACACACACACACACTTGCCTGATAAACGCCACATTTTTTCTTAATGAAAATCGACCACACATGGCAATAATCGGCACTGCTGAAAATAGAAGTAGCAGCAGTGAAGTGATCACAATTATAGCAACAGGATTCGATGGTTTGATCATCAACCACATCAAAGCTTATCAACGCGCAACTGTTCATGCTGACAGTAGCAGTTGTTAAACAAAGCGAAAATGACCGTACAACACTGGTGACAGCTCTTACAGGCACAAAAAAGAGCAAGTAATTGAGTCTTAATGGGTAATTAATCAGCAGACCACCAGTGCGATGGTGCCGGTATCAGGTGGGAGGCGCTGGTAAGGGGCTCTAAAAGAAGGCAAAAGAGAAAGAGATTGATTTGATAGAAGCAGCACAAGTTTGGCAATGCATCACTCATAAACTGATCGATCAGCGATGTTGGCACTCAAAGGTGGTATATAAAGACCTGCTCGGCACTGCAATCAATCACACCTTTCCTTTCTCTTCCTTCCTACAAAGTGTATCAACTCCTGAAACACTACCCAACAAGAGAAGTTATGAAGCTGTTCTTCGTTCTCGCCGCTCTCTGCATCGGCGCCTCCTTCGCCGAGGTGTCCCATGAGGACCAGGTCCGCCACGAGGAGATGCTCGCTGAGCTCTGCAAGGAGACCGGCATCTTCCCCAACCCCCACGACCCCGAGGGCCGCACCTTCATCCGATGCGAGCTGGAGCCCGTTGAGCTGCGATGCGACGATGGCTTCATCTTTGACGCCGAGAAGCTGATGTGCGTCGAGGAGCCGAAGCCCGAGCCGGTGCCCGTCGACATGGACAAGGTCGACTGGATGAAGGTGCTGAAGTGCCCCAGCTTCGAGGACAAGTACTACCGCAACCCGTACGACTGCCACCGATTCTACCGCTGCTACCAGGAGGGTCACTTCCAGCGCATCGGTCTTGGCCAGTGCGTCCCCAGCATGATCTTCGACGACGTCCTCGAGACCTGTCTGCCCGCTGAACAGTTCAAGTCATACTACGGACATGGCTGCGAAGCCCGCGCTCTGCCCGATGAGTTCAAGCCTGAGCACGAACACAAGCCCGAGCCGAACCCAGACAATCATGATGATGAGCACAAGCACGAAGAGCCGAACCCAGATAACCACGATGATGAGCACAAACATGAAGAGCCGAACCCAGACAACCACGATGATGAGCACAAGCACGAAGAGCCGAACCCAGACAATCATGATGATGAGCACAAGCACGAAGAGCCAAACCCAGATAACCACGATGATGAGCACAAGCACGAGGAGCCGAACCCAGACAATCATGATGATGAGCACAAGCACGAGGAGCCGAACCCAGACAATCATGATGATGAGCACAAGCACGATGAGCCAAACCCAGACAATCATGATGATGAGCACAAGCACGATGAGCCGAACCCAGACAACCACGAGGGTGAGCCGGAGCCAGAAAAGGTCCCCTCCCTTAAGGACATTCTTAAGGAGATCCAGGATCTTTTCAACAAGAAGCACTAAGCGCACAACACCTTTGTATTTTGCTACTATATATTGAATAAAATATTCAGTTTTTAACTTACTTTCTCTTGTCCATTTGTTTGAAATTTAATGCACTTGTAAACCAGTTGCAAAATGGTGTTATTATAAGATACAAAAGTAATAAGTTAGAGTGTAGTTGTATTTAAAATAGTTTGCAAAAATAAAAGCTGAATATCCAAAAACAAAAATGTATGTTGAAACAGCAAAGACAATGTTTAGCTGGTTACTTAAAAGTAAAAATTAGATAAGTTTGTTTTAAAAATAAAATAAAGTGCGAAGTACGGAAGTGTGATCAGGGTTATTTGTCAGCTGTGTGAATTGCAACGTGAAATTTAAGATCCGAGGGAAAATGGAAACGCATTGGACAATGTTCGCATTGATGAGGAGCTATTTCAGACTGGTTTGATGCAATAGATAAATCTGTTGAAGTTTGTGAGAACAATTGTATAACTGTTGCACGCCATTTGAATTCTTGGAGAAAGTGTGTCAGTTCTGCATTGGGTATCAAAGAAGAATCCAAATGTTCTTTTTTGATGTGGTCGCAACCATGATCGATTCGATTAAATTTTTTAAAACACTTTTCAGTAAATCTGCATGCAAAAGATAGTGCCACATTACCATTTGAATCCGTAGTATGAGAAAAGTAATGTCGTTGTAACATGTGCTTCTTTCCAGCTGTGTAACTACAACTTGCAAATGGACAAAGAAGCAAATCTCCTTTTTTCTCAATTGTATTGAATTCTGGAATAGAAGGTTTTGGTGGTTCATTCAATGGAGATGCAGCTGTTTCGCTTTCAAGTCCTTTCCACTCAGTAACTCCTAATGAAATAGTTTCTTTTTGAAGCATAGCATAGTCGATAGTTATACTAGACCCACTTTTTCTGCACCGGGTGTTTTTTAGATGATCAAGGGCTGCTAAGTAAAAGTAGAACTTATTGTGACAATTACCACAACTGAAAGGAGTGCTATTGCGATAAGACAACCGTTTCGACTTCATTTCAGTAGATGTTTTTTCTTGTAAATGTAGAGTTTTTTCAATGTTTGTTATTGTAGAAGCTGACTGAAGATAAATTGTTTTGTTTTCTTTGGTAGACATTGCCAAAAGAGCGTCTTTTTTGGCAATAATGACGTCTTTTTCAACCAATGATTTTTTCAGTTGCTCAATGAGTGTGTTTTGATCCTCTAGTTTTCGTTTCAAAACTAATAACTTTTGCTCTTCAATTTTGACTGGCACGGAAAATGAGAAAACGACATTGCTCATGCAAAAATTATCAGCTTGTTCTCCAAGGCAAACAGAAAGTGATTCCGATTCAACAAGATACTCTTTTGCTACTAACTGCAAAACAAGACGGTGCACGTCAGTGGGTTGTAAATGGCAACAAATTTCATAAAAACTAGCAAGTCGATGATGATCCTGAACAGTTTGGTTGGTTGAGCCTGAAACAATAAAACTTATATGTTATTGCAAGAACGTTGACAACTTTATACAACAGCTTACCGCAAAGAATGTCGACTAGTTGAGTTGATGATATGNAACTTATATGTTATTGCAAGAACGTTGACAACTTTATACAACAGCTTACCGCAAAGAATGTCGACTAGTTGAGTTGATGATATGCGCTCTTTACAAGTAGAAGAAAAGGAACCGACAAGTTGGCCAATGGACAACAGAATTTTTTTTGCAATAATAGTAAAGTCTTCTTCTTTGTAGTTATCTTTTGAGAGACAATTGTCACAGGCAGCATCAAAGTTTTTGAGACAATCACGCCGATCAAAGTTTTCTCCAAAGTATTTGAGAACTTGAGCACGACGACAATCGATTTTGTTTATGCAGAAATTCAAAACGTCACAAAGACAACGAATTGACACTTTTAGCATTTCGCCCTGGTTTGTTTTTGTGAGTAGAGTTTTCCATCGAGTAAAGTCTTGGGATGAAAAGAATAAAATGCAAACAGCGAGCGATCCGTCTCTGCCACCACGTCCAACCTCTTGATAATATCCTTCAAGTGAACTGGGCATCGTTTCGTGAATAACAAAGCGTACATTTGCTTTGTCAATTCCCATTCCGAACGCCGTTGTGGCGACAACAACATGGCATCTTTCATTGATCCAATCTTCTTGAACCTTCTTTCTGACTGCAAAACTGAGTCCGGCGTGATAGGCAGCTACTTTCAATCCATCTTTACAAAGCTTCTTTGCAAGAA